GAGAGGATGTGGATTCATTCGATCAAGAAGAGCTTTATATGGTTCAAAGGTGTTTATTCAATGGTACATGGCTTATGATGTGAGGCATCAATAATAGGAAATTCAATCATCAAAGTAAGGCTTTGTAAAGGTAAAACATGGCACGAAAGTTGTTTTTTCAATAGAGTTCAAGTTCCAAATACTGAAAAGAGAGAATGCTTTGAACACTTGAGGATTTGTTATTGGAATCAAAAGTTTCTAAGGATACATATACATTCAAATTTCCATTCATTTTTATGCCACGAACAAGTAATATTGATCCAAATACTTCTTCATTCAAGTTAAACAAATTGCAACGTTATTTTGGAAAGATGAAAGATACTACATTTCATATCCAAATTTCGTTACAATAGTCCCATTCATCATATTACAAATCCATACACATATCAAGAAAATTACAAATTATTTTGATCCTAATCTTAAGCATTGACTCCAAACTTATTTGTTTTTAAATCACCAAATATTCATTCCCCTTTATATTGCTCTATGGGCTTCATCACATCATGCTTTAAGCTCCATATTCAACCATCGCAGTAGGCTACCAGTCCATAAACCAAACACCATCTTATCTGAACCACACTTGCAGCATACAATAGATTCATCAAATAAAAACAAAAACAAGTCAAAGCTGACTGAAACTGTGCCCTGCGTACCATTCCAAAAACAAAAAAAAACACTGATATGATCGTCAAAGACAATTCCAGCAAATTTTCCTTCCAGTTGTGTGCCAACTAATTTACATCGAGCAATGCTAATGCAATAGCCTCAGAGCATGGCAGCGTTGACTTATGTCATTTTTCGGTGTGAAAATTGATATTACAAGGAACTTGATGAAGCGTAAAAGCACAAACATAATTGGGAGAATGGAGTGCAACCAAAAGCTTACCTCAAAACTCAGAGGCCTTTTCTTGGTGCTAATGCTCGATACAATAACATTTATCACTAAAAGGAGTTGTATTTAGCCAAACCATGATTCTTGATTTTGAATACCTCCAGTTTTTCTGGTCTTCAGGGCAGCACCATGCAACATAAACTAGTCTGCAAATAATAATAAAAAACCTAATAGCATAAGGAGGAAAGAAGATAAGTCAGAAACATCGTCTCTCTATGTCAAAGCTATAAAATAAGAAGAAGATTCAAAGAAAACAAGCCTCGTTCTGGTTGTTGTGTATCGTTAGTCGTTGGCCATCAAGCTAAAATACTGTGGATGTTGAAGATGTTAAAATTGCAATGCTACACATTCTGATGACCACATAGAAGAGAGAAAATAAATAAATAAGATTTCAACAAGATGTAATTCAAATATCATCATAAATATTTTGGATGACACAAAAGAAACAAGGAGTTATTTCTCGTAGCTTGCTCAAAGAAGAAGAAAATTCTACAATATGCTAATCAACTGTCATCATATACATCTTGGTAGATTTCAGAAGAAGCAAGGAGTTGTTGCTCGAAACTTGCTCAATGAAGAAGAAGAAGAACATTACAAGATGATACTCAATCTTCTTACCATATTCATCTTGTAGAACATTGTAATGAACACAAGTGTTGTTGCTCGTATTATGTTTCTATTCATAAATCTTCATGTAAATTGTTTTAACACTTGAGTTGTTGCTCAGAAAAGTGTTAAACAATATGTGCTTAAAACACTTGTGTAATTTTCTTATAAGAAGCAATCATGTAAACACAAGATCACCATTAACAATTTTTGATTGGTTCCTTGGGAGACTTGGTGAAGGTCGAATCTCAAGAAGATAATGGATGCGGTCATTATAGGAAATCCTGATAGAAGATCTTGTGAGATCGGATCATTGAACGCGTCATTGTTTATTAGTCATCGGTGGTTGCCCGTGCACTTGTAATCAATTTAGTTATAGTGGATTAAGTCTTTGGATAAGGTGAAATAATCCTTGAGGGGGTCGACAGGACTAGCCTAATTTTCGGCGAACCTGGATAAATCACTTGTGTCATTTCATCTTTATTGTGCTTATCGCTATTATCATTTGAGTGCTTAGAATTTCTAAAGGGGAATGTTTTCTATGAATATAATTCAAACCCCCTATTTCTTGTGTTTTCTCTACCTTTAGAGGCGGAATTGATGGGTCGAAAGTCTCATTGAGAGGTGAAAGCCTGGTGATTTCCGCCACGTTGAACAAGGCAGGCGTTAGCATCCCATAGGGAAACTGGAAGGTGTTAGTCGAACCGTACCAAAAAAAGAGCGAGGAAAAAATAAAATTAAGATTGACTCTAGGGGCTCTCCTTGACAGTTGGATGATGTCGAAAATACCAGTGTCTTTCCATTGAGCTTATCATTGTTCTTGGACTCTGTCAAGCCAAACTACGTAAGCTTCATGATCAGAAGAAAACATTAAACGACATACCTAGGCCGCTTGATCCATAAACCTAACGTTAATGGGTTTTGTTTTGTTGAAAGTGGAGGGATAGTGGAGTGAAAACAACGAAAATGTCTATGAACCTTCTTAGGATGTCTCTTTGGGTTGGATATGGCCAATGGAATGCGAAAAGTTTCTCTGCAACAGCAAATGGGATCTACATTTGTCGTTTCCACTTTTTTATCTTTGATTTTGCATTAGGAGAAGGCTGAGGAATGAATTCCAAACTATCTTCTTCAGAGAGGGAAACATCTACGGGATTATTACTTGTGTTAAAAGGATTACACGAGGAAGCAACCATTTTTAGGAAGTGAAGATTTGTTCTTTCACAAGTTCTGCAAATTGTGAAGAAAGAAGGCTAACAATGGTAGGCGTGAAAGGAAATTTACATAAGCGTGTGAAGATCGTTAGCAATGGACAAATGGCACTCGTTAATTAGTTGTGATTAACACTAAACCCGGAAGTGGAAGAGTTAGTAGGGTTTGTTGAAATCCAATGTCCTGAAAACTATGAGTCATCATGAGAAGTGATTGACTGACATATGGAATAGTGGTGCAGAAAGCGGCCATCATAACATGTGACATCATTTGAAAAGACATGCAGTCGAAAATTCAAATGTTGAAAACGCCAAAGTTCTTAGTCAATAAGATCTCCAGTGAAACTTGACCTTTTGGGGGGAAATTTGTTGACAAGAAAAATTCGACTTAAGTATTGGGTCACATGTTAGGTGATACCTTTCGTCAAAGAAGAGTATCAATAAAGAACTATGGGCATGTCGACAAGATTTCAGGAATTACGCTCAAAAGCGGTCGACAAGATTATCAAGAGCGAAGCAAAATTTGCAAAGACCAGGCAAGTCGAGAACAAAAGTAGATGGTGATAAAAGCGGTTATCAAAAATGAGCATTAAGCGAGACGTGGGAGTTTCAAAAGTAGTGTCTCATGAACCATCAACATGAGTGGCTTAAATAACCTTTGACGGTTACTTTTTTAGCATCTATTTAAGAAAGTTATTGCATTCGTTTTAGAGGTCGCATTTTGTAACATTGTAAGAGAGCACTCAAAGTACCAGCGCATAAAGAAATATGTCAGTTCTGAGAAATGTATGATTGCGTCCATCTTTAAATTCAAAGCATTTTTATCTTCACAAGTCTTGTTTATTTTTCCAGTCTTTCAATTTAACTACCATTTACTTGTCTTTGTTTTCTTATCTGTGTTTCTTGCACTTTAATCTTTTCAAGCACCTAAATACCGTCAAATTTAACATGAAAGTCTAGGACTCATGTAGCCGGTCCTGATAATAGATAGCTATAGAAGTTCACAAGTTCTAGTCTACTACATGTAATTACCACAACCAATCTAAAGAAAAACTAAAAAATAAGCATCTAATGAGAACAAAATAAACACACACCGTTCAAATCCACTACATGTAATCACCACTGAAACAATAAAGTTATCATTTGGTATCATTGTAATAATCCAAATTTGTCATACCCTTTAATAAAATCATCTGACTTGTGCATCTCATAAATCTCATATACATACCATACATTAGGTCATCTAACACATCATGCATCATTAATCAATACTTTGGCATGAGATCAGGGATATTGAGGAATTGGGGTTTATTTGTGCTTTTAGGCTCTCATCTTCTTTCAAGCTTGAATAAAATAGTTTCTTTAGCAATCAGAGTTTGAAGCTAGAGTTTTACGTTCATGGTTATTGTGGATTTCTTTTTCATCGAACTACAATATTATATCTCTTGAGTTTCATCATGGTCAAGTGCGTAAGGATTATTACTTGTATGTACTTAGGATTTCATCAATGCTTTGAACCAGGGTTTTGATCCAGTGATATATCATTGTGACATGCAAAGAGGTCGTCTTCTAAGATCTTATCCATCACAAATTAGGATTTTTAATTGAGTTTCCTTCATCCAAGGAGGTTCAATTGTTAATTGAACTTCAAGGCACTTAGTTATGGTTCTCATGTAAGAAGAGATTCAATTGAATTGTGTCCATCAATTAGGGTGTGTGGATTCATTCGATCAAGCAGAGCTTTATATGGTTCAATCGTCAAAGTAAGGCTTTGTAAAGGTAAAACATGGCACGGAAGTTTATTTTTCAATAGAATTCAAGTTATAAAATCGAAGAGAAAGAATGCTTTGAAGACTTGAGGATTTGTTATTGGAATGAAAAGTTTCTAAGACTACATATCCATTCAAAGTGCCGTTCATTTTTATGCCATGAACAAGTCGTATTGATCCAAATACTTATTCATTCAAGTTAAACAAATTGCAACGTTATTTTGGAAAGGTAAAGGATACTACATTTCATATCCAAATTTCATTACAATAGTCCCATTCATCATATTACAAATCCATACACATATCAAGCAAATTACAAATTATTTTGATCCTAATCCTAAACATTAACTCCAGACTTATTTCTTTTCAAATCACCAAATCTGTATTCCCCTTTGTATTGTACTATGGGTTTCATCACACCATGCTTTAAGGTCCATATTCAACCATTGCAGTAGGCTACCAGTCTATAAACCAAACACCATCTTATCTGAACCACACCTGCAGCATACAATAAATTCATCAAATAAAAACAAAAACAACTCAAAGCTGACTGAAATTGTGCCCTGCATACCATTCCAAAATCAGAAGAAAAAAAAAAACACTGATATGATCGTCAAAGACAATGCCAACAAATTCTCCTTCTAGTTGCGTGCTACTAATTTACATCGAGCAATTCTAATGCAATAGCCTCAGAGCGTGGCAGCATTGACTTATGTCGTTTTTCGGTGTGAGAATTGATATACAAGGAACTTGATAAAGCCTAAAAGCACAGACATAATTGGGAGAATGGAGTACACCCAAAAGCTTACCTCAAAACTCAGGCCTTTGCTCGGTGGTAATGCTCGATACAATAACCTTTATCACCAAAGGGAGTTGTATTTAGCCAAACCGTGATTCTTGATTTTGAATACCTCTAGTTTTTCTGGTCTTCAGGGAAGCACCATACAACATAAACTAGTCCGTAAATAATAATCAAAAACCAACTAGCATAAGGAGGAAAGAAGCTAAGTCAGAAACAAGTTGCTAGTTGCAGCCTTCATTTATATCAAAAACAAAAGTAGAAGTCAAACTAGTAGAAAACCAAATTAATATCAGAAGAGAAGAAAAAGTCCATACAATCTCATTATGCAAGTATTCACCAAGGTAGAATATTTCTCAAAGAGAAAAAAAAAAGTCAAGTCCAAAACAAAGCTAATCATGGGCAATTTGCGGGAACTGAGAGTGAAACTTAGCATCTTGAACTCATCCCAGCAGTACACAAATTCAGAAATTCATCGACAACCATGGCAATCCATAGGAGGCAGTAGAAGACATAATGCATATTTCATTCAAGAAGCAATATTAACATATGGTGTTAAGACAATGTGAAACAAGTGCAGGCATGTTGAGAAACATCAAACCACAGCCCTGCATATTAATTCTTGCAGCCAAAAGTGACTCAAAAGGAAAAATTAGTATAACAATAAATGGAATCAGAAAATCAATATATCAGGAAATCAGAAATAGAGAAGGAATTTCAGAAACTCTCTAACTGTCCTAACTGATGCCAGCTCATCAAAAACTAACAATAACTGATTCCAACTCCAGCTCACTCTAACAGATCAATATTTAACTTCTATAACTACCTAGTACACCACTATTAATTTACTAACAGAATTCCATCTCAACAGCTTCTAACAAACTTTTCAGAACATCTCTCTCTCTCTCTCTCTCTCTCT